AAATATATTCTTAAAAGTCAGGAGCTTGTGACCAACGTAGCGGCTAAAAGTTCTTTCGGTAATCTCTAAGTCTACTCAATCCAAATCTAACACACTGCTGATTTCAGAAAACTGCTTGATGATGTACCAAGCCCGGAGTCAAGCAAGAATGGTATTCGATAAACAAGATCAAATCAGCTTAATGCAGCTCAAAGAGATTGCGAATAATTCGAGCTCTTCGTCAACAATTACTGATAGTTTCGCGACCTGCTCGCACAAATTATGGTGATAAATAGACTGGCGAAAAAGGGGGATGGCAGTCCGTCGATAATGGCTTGGTAACTGGTTGAAACCATGGCGTTTTTGAATGCTCCATTGACGCAGCAGTTAATTGACTTTTCTTGCAGGCTCATTCAAGTGTGACTGTTGAAGCAAATCAACGACCGATGATACGATAAAGCGATAACTTTACCATTTTTCTGATGTCTTTCAGGGCAAATGTGTAGACTGCCGTCAGACTCTATTCCAAGTATCGTATTCACTCAATCAGTGCAACTGCACCCGCCTCCAGACGGCCGTAAGGACGGTGGACTGTTGTTGTCCCTTCAAGCCGGTAGAGAAAAAGGTGTGTTTGGGCAATCGAATTGAAGTGCAATCAAACAAGGTGATGCTGAATGATGCCGTTTGCCGACCGGTAACCACGACATCATCGATACCAGTCATCTGCCCGAAGGACAGAATAGTGCGAGGCGAGTGCGACAAAGTGTTGTGCACCCGAACCATCATACAGGAGACGAATATCCTGAAGAACTGTACATGCCAGCAGCAGGTACGGGAGGTGAAGGAAAAATGCTGTAAGTATCTGAATTTCCGGTCACTCCCCCTCCCTCCACTACATCTCTTTTTGATACTATTTCTCCTCTTTCTGTCTCCGCACACATTCTCTCTCTGCCCACCTCCCTCCTTTTCTGCCATTCTTTTATTTCTACTTTTCATACCTCAGTCGATGGTGCCTTTCTTGCAATTTCACTTCCTTCCAGCTCATGTTTCTCATCCTCTGCTCAGTTGGCAGTCGTTTTACCGTCAACATTGCCCTAAAATGCTGTTTCCGCAAGAGCAGGGTTCGATTCGTGCATTTTGTATAAATCAGTCCTAAATTCAGTATTTCTGTGTGTGTGAAATTAAATGTGACAAAATTCAGTTTCGTGAGGCCGACTCATTTTATTGCGGAACATTTCAACCATCGGTCCTTCAGCATCATATGAGATCAAATATAGTTCAAATTCGTATTAAAGATTCCCTGAATGTCTCAATACATATTAATTGTGTGTATTATTCTCCGATGTGATTGTGGTGAGCCACGGTCTAGAATATTTATGAAACTCAATCTTAATTCTCATTTCCCCATCGGTTCTATGCCGTGCCGTGTGATACGCACAGGGACTGAGTCTTATAAGGATCTTTATCTCTGTCATCGAAGGCTATGCGAATTTTTGCTTTGCATTTATTCCATAAAGAGGACTAAACACTTTACAGAAGGCCCGAGTTTCTTCACAGGCGGTAGTAAACCCTCAATCGAATTGTGTG